TTAGGGGCTTATGGGTTACAGCTGTTCTGCCCCGCCCCTCTGGGCGTGACACCACCTTCATATATGTCTGTCTGATAGAAAACGTGTATCTCCGAAAATCCCTTATTTTAGGATTATTAAAAAAAATTCTCAGAAGCTACTTTGCGAAATGAACCTAAAACAATATAATGACACACCTTCAGCACCACAAATATAAGCCTATATTCATACAGCCATTTGTGAATGGTTTAATATGTCAGTCTCAACAAGGTACAAACGCTTGATATTCACAGTTAACAATGATGTTAGTTACATCGCTATCTAGCGTTATGTTGTTAAAATCTGTGATTATAAAATAATCCATACAATCGACCATCATGAGTACAAATGTTAAGTATAAACATAAATACTAGTAAAATATAGAAAGGAATAGATGACTTCATAAAGTGTCTTTTCATTGGTCAGTTTGATGTCAAATGCTATTGGTAGACAAAAGGTGAATTCCATCTATAGTAAAAAGTTTGGTTTTTTTTTTGGACAGCAAAGGTATATAAAATTGTATTGTAGGTAGAAGGTATATGTATATACCTATATGTATATAAAATCTTTCTATATATACAGCCGTGGAAAAGCTTAAGACACCACAACATAATTTTTTGTTTCACTCATTTCTCAAATTATGGGTGTGTGTCTGTGAATAATATATTATTTTTTGCAGCCTGATTCTTCCCTGTTTCTCATTAATGAAGGGCTTCTTCCCTGCTTTATGGGTCTTCAGTCCTGCTTCTAGGAGCCTGATATGAACTGTCCTAGCAGTGCACTTCACACCTGCACGTAATGTTTCCCGTTCCTTTTGAAGGTCACCTGATGTCATCCTATGATTCATGAGAAACTGTCGGATAAGTTAACGGTCATCTCTGGCATTAGAAAGTCACTTCTGCCCTTTATCTGGCTGGTTTCTGGTCGTTCCCAGTGTCTCCTGCTTCATCGTGTTTTTGTGTGCTGCTGTTTTTGAAATTTTTATTCTGGGAGCAACCTGCTGCTCAGCGTAGCCTTATTCCAGCAGAACCACAATTAAACTGGGATTTTAAAATGCAGATTTGTTTAAAAATATAGAGTGGTCTCTTGTATATATCATTTTTTTCCCCAACACAATTCTAAGGTGCGTTTGTGCACCATATACAGTTAGAAAATGATTTGAACCCTAAACCTTTCAGACAAAGGAATAAATCCCATACTTACTGAGCTGACCCCCCCTGAATCATGGAAAACACAATATATATATACATATATATATTTTGCATATATACATGCATATATACATTCGCATTTCTGCATATGTTCCAAAACACCATCGCAGCCTGTCATTCAGCCCATCCGAGTGCTTGTGTTCCCCTTGGCTGAAAGTGCTATGGAACGAGACGCCACAGACTCCGGCCATCGCTCCTGGGTTTCCCGGACGAGAGAAAATAAACAATTAAAGGGAACAGTGCCCAAGATCATAACAGGAGGAAAGAAAGTCTGCACTTTGACTTCACTTCCTGAAACGTGAGGTTTGACTAGTATTTGTGCAGCAAAGAGCCAGCAAAAGGCTTTTGGCGCGTTCCTCTGATGATCCAGGAGTGGCAGGAGAGCAGAAGCTACACAGCGTCCGCTTCATGGTGTTCAGGGCCTTAATTCTCCACTCAGGAGCTGCTCTTTGTGAAAATGGCAGTCGGGAGTCGTGAAAGGTTGGGCTCAGATCTTTGAGGATGAACCAGTACTGAAGTGTCATTTTCTAGGTTTCTGGTCTCCATTTAGGAAGAGGTTTCACTCAGGAACAGTTGTATTAGAACTGAGCATTTTGGCCAGCGGCTCATTCATGCATAGCTATTAACAGCAGGCACCGCCAATGTGCTGAACGCACGTGTTAAGGACAGTCCAACAGCCGAGGTCTTTGTTGTTATCGCGAGGCCCGTTGGTGACGCTTAACTGTGCGCTAAGCATGTTTTTACGCAGCTAAATATCCTTAGCAGTAACGTGCTTATCGTGTCATTTCTTCTACTGTGCACTGATGCTTATTTTTTATCATTCTCACATATTTTAAAGGAATATAAAAGCTGTTAAAATAGCCTGTCATGTTCTGTTTATAACCTGGCGCAGGTGCACTCATAATACTAGGCAAGAAAATGAATTATGCCACCTTAATTCACCTGCTAAAGGCAGTGTGTCAGGACAGAGTGTGTCATTTCCCCCTAAACGGGCAATAGATGTGACAGTTCTGTCTACAGCCTTTGGGCTATTTAAAGATCCATTATCCATCATCTTGTTTAAGTGAAAACGTTAAAAAGTGTAAGTCCGCGTGCTGGACTTGACGTCGCGCTACTCTGTTATTGGTGAATTCGAGGTGAATTTTCCTCCCCTCTGTCCAAACAGATGCTTTCATCTGAACCATAGATTCCTGCACATCCCTGCCAGCCCCACAAGCTCCCAGTTTAAATGAAAGCCGCCTTAATGAGAAGATTTCATAGGTTTTACCACCAACTAAGCATGTTCCAGAGAATTTATGGTCCGATTTATGTGGTTATTATTTCTTGGTCTTAAAGAGATTTATTACATTACCAGCCTCTCTCTGTTTATCAGTTTACTCGTTGTTGTTGGTGGTGCTGCTGCGAATTGTAAAGGCTTCTTATTTTTTTTAATTGCAATGATAAAACGCTCATGTTTACTCTGGTTTCCAGGTGGGGGGGGGTCAGTTTTACAGCCCCGGCTCTGTGTGTGTGTGGAGTT